GGTATATTTGTTTTAACAGATGAATCAATATTGATACATTATTACTTACTAGAGAACCTGGTTTATACTTGGGTGGCAGAGGCAAGGAGATCTTTGTTAGTTCGAGGCCAGTTTGGTCTACAGAGCCAGTTCCAGGCCAGCCAGGGCAATACAGTAAACCCTATCTCAAAAAGCCCAAAACCAACCAAACAAAAAACCCACCCTAGTTTATATTAGGATTCACTCTTTGTGTTCTAGTTTTAGTGCCCTGAAAAAATACCAACCCTAATTTTTCAGTCTCTCCTCCCTCTCCCTATATGAGTCTATAGTTTCTTTCATTTTTTTCAGGGTACACAGTTTGGTATCACATGGTACTGGTCTTTATAGACTAGTTTCTTCCACTTAGCAGTGTGTAATTAAGGCTCAGTTCCTCCATGACTTGATCAATCACTTCATTTCATTTTAATTAATTGTGTGTGCATGCATGTATGTGCAAGAGAACAACTTCTGAGAATTGGTTCTCTTCTTCCATGTGGGTTCCTGAGATCAAACTCAGGTGGTCTGGCATGGCAGTAAGTACCTTTACTTACTGAACCATCTCACAGGCTCCCAGCTCACATCATTATATTGAATGAGAGTTCATGATGTGGAGATGCCACAGTTTATCCACTCACCTCTACTGATGGGTATCTTCATTGCTTCTGAGCTTTGGCAGTTATGAATAAAGTTACTTAAAAATCCATGTGTATGCTTGTATCTGTATGTAAGTTTTCAACTAACCTGAAGAATACTAAGAAGCATGGCTGTTGGTCATATGATGAAGTACACTTAATTTTCAGATTTTCTTCCCAAGTAACCACTACTTTGCATTCCTACCAGTAATGAAATTGCCACTGTTCCCCATCTTCACCAGTACTTGGTGTTGTCAGCATTCTGGGATTTGGGCCATTTTAATAGGAATGCAACTATATCTTTCATTTTAATTATTTTTATTTCCCTGTGATATATGATATCATTTTTCATATGCTTATTTGTTATTTGAATATTCATATTGGGAAGATGTCTATTCAAATTTCTTGCCCATATTTTAACTGTGTTGGTTGCTTACTTATCCTTGAGTTTTAAAAGTTCTTTGTATGTCTTGGATACTGGTCCTTTACTGGGTATATGTTTTGCAATTTTTTTTCTTGATTTGTGGTTTGTTTATTTTCTTAACTTGATCTTTTACAGAAGTTTTAATTTAAATGAAGTCTAATAGCAATTTTTTTCTTTCCTAGCTTGGGCTTTGGTGTTGTATCTAACACTTCACTGATCACATCCAAAGTCATCTAGGCTTTCTCATGCCCTGTATAGCTTTGCACTGCATATTTGAAGCTATAATCCATTTGGAGATAATTCTGGTTAAAGAATAAGGTCCGTGTCTAGATTCTTATTTTGGCTTTAACGTCAATGTTTAGAATTAAATTTGGATTTTTATATGAAGTCTTCTGATTTTAAAGGTTGGTTAAGTGGCCCTCAACCAGTAGCTCCTCCCAACATACCTGACAGCAAGCTGTAATCATCTATCTTGGGTCATCTGGAGTTCTTCATTCCCTGTACCTGGAGTGCTCTTTACCCATCCATCCATATCTTCCCTAACACTTAACTCACACTTTCACTATCTCACTGTTCCCACTACTCTGATCTGGTTGGTATATGTGATCAATATTCAGTTAATACTGACTATGAACACACTTATGAGCTGTAAATCCCATTTAGCACAGCCCTGTACCACACTGCCTGTCCTCCTTAGCCAGAATGAAAATTCGGGGAGGACAGGAATTCTCCTTTTCTGGTTTACCCTAGGCAACTTTGAGATCTAGGCACAAGATAGGTTCAGTAAGACATACTGATACTTTCAGACCAACCAGACTTTGGTCCTGGATTACCGACTGCCTTTTGGTCTTCAGTAGAGGCCTGGGTACTTGAGGAAAAGCTGCTGAAAAGCTGCCAAAGATTTACACACAGCAGCCTTTCCCTAGTGTGGGTAGAATGGTGGAAACTCTAATTTTGATGCCTGATGAAGCTTTATGAGGGCTTCAATGTCCTTGGAGAACTAGAATATAGCAATGGCAGAGCAAAATGTATTATTAGAATACCAAAGAACCATGAGTAACAAACATGCTTGTTTCATTATGATTTCCACATGTTCACGATGATCAACCAGTTTGTTATGAAAAACAGGGGAAGAATGAGTGAAATAAAAAGAACAGGTAGTTTCCTAGTGACTGGATCCTCACACTATGCCCAACTAATAGACAAGTGAATGGTTTCTTCCACTCCTGGTCTTTTTGTCTCCATCTGTATCAAATGATTCCAACCAAGAATTTGTGAACACTTCAGACTGAACAAAGATGGAGTGAATGAAAGAGTAGGTGGTGACTGAGCACAATGACATGCAATGTCCTGGAAGACAACTGAGAACCAATTTACTCAAAGAAGGTACTGTGACTTTCATTTGTTGTGACTATCTAACATCCATTAGTGGTCCATCCAGGCAAATTCTAGGCAAGACAAACTGGGAAAGCTAGAATTAAGGACATGCTTTGAGCTTAGGAAACAGCCATGAACCTGCTACAGAGTTTCTAAGGGTTTGGCTTGATCTTAACACAGGGACAATATTCTGGATAACTTTAGTGTCAACTTTATACACTTAGGTTGAGGGAGCCTCAATTGGGAAATTTCCTCCATTGGACTAGCCTGTGGCCATGTCTGTGGGATATCTTCTTGATTATTGAGTGATGTGGGAGGGCCCAGGCCACTGTGGGTGGTGCCACCCCTGGCAGGTGGGCCTGTGTTGCATAAGAAAGCAGGCTGAGGAGGGGCCAGGGGAGCAAGCCAGTAAGCAGTGTTCCTCTATGGCCTGTGCTCCAGCTCCTGCCTCCAGGTTCCTGCCCTGAGTTCCTACCTAGGATTCCCTTATGAACTGTGATCTGGGACATGTAAGATAAAACAAACCTTTCTTCCCCCCAAGTTGATATTGGTCAGAATATTTTGTCACACCAATGGAGAAACAAATTAGGACAGGCAAACGCAGATACCCTGCTGGCAGTGACAGTGCTTCTACCTCAAGATCTGCCTTCCCTAACTTCAAGATCCATAGGAATCAGCCACAGACTCAGCATGGGGACAACAGACTTGTAGAAAACATAGCCATACTCCTATTCCAGCTCCCTTAGTATACCTGACATCATACTCCATTCCCTGGAAAAGGCTTGAATATGAACAAAGCAGGGAAAAGTCCCCCTGGGTGGAATGAAGTAGGCAAAAATAGTCCTGTATATGAAGAAAAACAAAGTACATACAGATACCTTAAAAAATATCCCAAAGCCACTTCTCCAGCCCCTGCTTAAAAGACATAGTCCCCTTTCATTTAGCTGCCTAAACAACCTCTTGGTACACACTGTACTTTGGTGACTCAAAGGCCCAAGCTATCAGCTGCTAAAAACAAAGATTAAAGACTACTAGTTGGTATTGGTTGTCTAAAATCAGTGTTAAGCAACTTGGGCTAGAAATTCAACTTTGCTCACGTAGAACAATGAATAGCTTTAACAACTACTAGGTACACATATTTAAACAAAAAGAAGACAAGAGGAATAAAGAGGGGGATGGAGGAAGGGGAAGAAGGAGAGAAGAATGAGGAGGAGGAGGAAGAGGAGGACCACATTAAAATCTAGGAAAGGTGCGTGGGAGCTCGAGGAAGCATGCAGTAAGGCCAGAAGGCAAGATAGAGAACCAGGGGAGACTCAGTGCCCACAAGATGGACAAATTCAACTATTCTAAACTCTCAAGGCATCCATTCACTTAATGGTGAACAAATACACTATCTACCAGGTAATAGGTCAGCAATTAAACTTCTTGAATGTTATGATTTAAAACTGCCAACAACTAAGAAGAGGCATAGTTTAAGATTCCCCTTTTACTGTAGTTACATTTTCATTGTTAATACTGTTTACATCTGTTTTGGAGTTATTTTTTGTCTTAAGCATTTAGTATCCTTTAGTTTGTTCCAATGTAAGATTGTTGAGCCCATTTTGTGAGTCTGTAAGTATCTGGAAGGGAGAGGACCATAGAATACTATCACAAAGCAACAGTATGCAGAGGGGCAGGAGAAAGGCACTCCTGTCCTATGTCTCATCCTGATGCTAGTGTTTCACCAAGGGAAACAACACCCTGCAGACAACCTAGGACTGAGCCTCAATCTGTTTTCACTAGAGAAGAGCAAAATCAACTGTTTCCTGACTCTTCTACAGCTGGAAGTTGAGAGTCCAGCTGCTCTGGTCATAGCTCACATTCTTTCTGCAAAGGCCCTAGCTGACCCAATTTGTGCAGTGGTCTGAAGAGGCATACTAAGCAATGTGGGCTAAAGTCACAAGGGAAAACTTTCTGGTCCTAGTAGAACAGTTTCTGGGAGGATTGGTCAACTAGTCCCAATACTGCCTGGCTTGGCTATAAGTGCTCAAAGCCCCAGTGGAGCAAAATGGCTCTTTCCTTTGATAGTCTCTGATGAGACTAAGGTTTGAGGATGGGAGTCACAAAGGGCTACTCCATACCAGGTGCATTCCTTATGGACATGGACATAGAAATTGTACTGAACATTTCTAACATTGTCGGGGACGGGAAACTGGGATGACATGAATGAGGAAAAGATTTAGCTATTGATCTGCTAAGCTGCTATAGCTCCTGGATGTTTATGAAACCAAAAGAAATTGCTTTTCATGCCCAGGAGCCAGCACAGGTAACAGCCATCACCAAAGGCATGTCAGTAGATCACCAAGGCCAAGAAGCAGTATGTTGAGTAGTGACTCTCCTTTGCAATGGTGATGCTTACCAAAATCCACAACAAATAGCCAAGCTCCAAGTTCAGAGAGAAGGTTTAAATTATGTTCATGGGACAATGGCCCAAAGTTAGGTATAGTCAAGAGAAATTCTAGAAGAATGGGTAAGGCCCATGGGTGGTAGGCATGGTGCATAATACTCACAGTGAATTGGGCCGCGTAGGTTTGACCACATCCAGGTCTGGATCACTGGAGTTCATGTTGGGCTGCAAGCTGCTGCTAGAATTAAGGATGCTGTTTGCATTTGAGGACACTGATTCAAAACTGGAGTTGATGATGCTGTTCCTTTGCTCCTCTGAGAAGAAAAATATCAAAAACCTTATGTTAATGCTTTAATGTAATAGGAATAGGCTGCTCCCATATATACAAAAATTTATAAATAGGGAGACTGGGTTTAAATTTCAGAAGCCTTAAGAAAGGACAGAGGAGCCAGGCATAGTAGCACACATCTGTAATCTTAACACCAAAAAGGTAAGGGCAGGAGGACTGAGAGTTCAAGGCCTTTAGCTAGGGCTAAAGGAGAAAGAGTCTAACACAAAAACAAAACAAAACAAACAGGTTAATTAACTAAACAAACACCAAAAAACAGGACATAAGGAAAGGATAAGAATTGAGAGTGGGAAAGGAAGGGACAGTGAGATGGCTCAGTGGGTAAAAGCACAGAGTGTCAAGCCTGATGACCTGAGTTTATTCCTTAAAACCCATAAGGTAGAAGGAGAGAATAAGCTGAGCTGCACATGCCCATGTGCACCTACCCCCTCATCCCTTACATGTACACTAAAATAAATTTAAACAAAACAAGAGTGGGAAAGGAAGGTCAAAGGGAATGACATGAATTTTAGAGCAAAGGCCCTTTCTTGTGTTGACAGGATGTACTCCCCACCTTCACTATGACCCAGGCTCTTTCCCAAGAATGGTCCTGTCAGTGTACCTTACATTGTACCTGTTTTGACTTTAGTAGATAATCAGAACAGAGAGGCCTTCATAGACCACTTGTATTCAAGTGAGCCCCCTTTGATGTCTGTGACATTCACATTTTTTTCTAAAACTCCTGCCTCTTATACTGTTCAAGCTATGCCCTACCTTCAAATCTATAGCACACCACCACAGAGTACCTATTTGGACTTCAGTTTTCTTAGGACTCTGCCAGACTAAATTAGCGAGCCTACCCTGGACTCCTGTGCTGCCTCTAGCTCTACGCATTTGAGGTTTAACTTCAAGTTAATTCTTTAATAAACAGAGCTGTAAGAGCCTGTAAAGTTGTCTGCAAATAAAACACACACTCACACATACACACAAAACCTGAGCCCATGTTCCAAACAGCTGCACTCATCTTTGGAAAGTATTATTAACTCAAAAGAGAGAAACCTGAAGTCTCTTCCAGAGTTTGCCTCTGATTGGAGATGTGGTCTCATGTGACCTCAGATTCTTAATGAATAAATAAAATGGGAAGAATGAGAACTGCCCTGCACAGCTCATGGAGCTGTCATAAGGATCAAGTGGAATCATAGGCAGGAATTTGTTTTATAAACACTGGAATACTGCTCAAGGAAAGAACTTTCTGTTTTTTCTCATCTTCAGAAACTTGGAGGCAGGAATTGAGAGATTTGGGGGATGATGTAGCTAAGTGGAACAGGCACCACTGGTAGAGTAACACATTACAGACCTGGAATGTCTGTCTCTCTGGACTCACTGTAATCAACTGATGGTGCTGGCAATTATTCCATTTGTCAAGAAATAAATTACCCGAATTCTTCTAGGGCTTTTCCCAAGGGAACAGACTAGCATCACTGACATGGCAATTGATAGACTGACATTTGAACTCAGGTCTCTTCAGGCAATAAAGGGAGTAAGAGCATAAAGGAAAGAAGAAAAAAAAAAACTCCACTTTCCTTTGGGGGCTAGAGAGGCAGCACAGCGGTTAAGAGTACATACTGCTCTAGCACAGAACCAGAGTTCAGTCGCTAACACCTACATTGGGCAGCTCACAGTCACCTTTAACTCCAGCCCAATGCCCTGCAGACACACACATAACTAAAAGTAAATTTAAAAAATAAACTTTTCCCTTCGCACTACTTATGTCTGTGAAACAAATTAAGTTTATTATGAAATGATGTTAAAGTAACCTTATTGGGTGTGCATATACAAATTCAAATCCTCCTAAAATTTTGGCAAATACTTTGTAGTTGTGTGTTTTGAGATAGTATCTCTATTATGTAGCCAAAACTGGTCTTGAATTTGCAATCCTTCTGTCTTCTCTTCTTGAGTGCTAAGATTACAGATATATACCACTGTGTCAGTTAGGCAAATTCTTAATGTCTTTATGAAGCCTCAATGAAGAGATTTTAAAAACCTATGAGGTCACTAGGAAATTCCTGAACACTTAATAAATTTTCAGAGAGAAGAAAGGGGGATTAAATTGATCAGAGATTTAGAATCAATCATAATTCAATAGTTTAAGTTTCAACCTGAAACAACCACAAAGAAAGAAGAAACATAAGCGTAACAGGAGGACTAACGGGACCAGTGAACAGGAACTTACTGCCAAGAAGAAAAGGAACTCTTACATTACCTAACTAGGCAATCACTGAGAAAATGGATTTCTCACTAAGCTATAGAGATAAGCCTCATTACTGGAAATCACAGATGAAACTGAACACATCTAGGTAGAAGATGGAAGCCGAAAGCTGACAGTCTTGACTGAGGGTGAGTAGGAAAAAGATTATTTCAGACAAAAGATGGGGGAGTGAAATCAAAAGCAAACCAAATGTTTCAGTGGTTATGGCAAACTATATCAAAACAAATCCTATAGCATTTAGAATACATTAAGAAATAAAGAGAAACTGATTCAGTATTGCCACTTAACACAGGAGAACCCTTCCCACCATATGGTCAAATGAATACTTGCTTCTGATAGAAAAGCAGAAGGCTAGAAGACTTCTTTTAAATGAAAAGGAACCAACCCCTTCACAAAAGGGAGCTGGACATCCTGAGTCATGGATGATTCAGGCCAGCTCTGGCATCCTCATCAGAAGGTGGACCAGGGACTGGTGGCAATTTAGTTGCTGGAGGGAAAAAAAAAAATTATAGACTAGTGGACTTCAAAAGAAAAACAGCAACCAGTTTATGAGTCAAATCAACAAGATGACAGAGAATCATTTGAATGACAAAGAGAGAAAGAATGCAGCTCTCAGGAGTGCTCCACAACTGGCTGGAGTCAGTGAGAACACTTGCCCTCCCTAAACATATTTGTCCATAAGAATGCCTCTTTCTATTAGTCACTGAAGGCAACAGCACAGAAATGAGGAAATGGTAGAATACACTGTCAGTTATAAGTATGCAACAGTAATGTGTTAGATGCCTTCATGAAAATATATTTTAAAGGACTGACAGTGGATATAGACTTGTTCCTCAACGACACAAAGTACTCAAGGGCAGACATAGGTTATCTGGCCACACAGCATCTGTTAAAGTGACCTGTGAGGTTGGTGGGCACCATACTTTTCTGCACACAGCCCATGCATCATATACACCAAAGCCCTGTCAAAGGTTGAAGGATAAGCAATGAACACAAGTGAATAATACTCAATTGAAATTTATTCTTCTAGAACAGAGACAAGTAGTTTTCTGTGACTGAATTTTGCAGGTGCTTCAGGCAGGAACCTTGAAACTAAAGTACTGGTGACTGTGGGCAGCATTTGTGTTTTTAGTACAAATCAGGAGCGGAAAAAACATGAGTATGCAACCAAATTACTGCAACTAAAAAAGGAAAGCCACTGAATAATTTTGGCGATATTGTACTTGTTCTGGGGGTTGCCATAGAAATATAGGAGCTAAACTACTGCATTTCCACATTTACGAAGTATCTCCAACTCACTCTAATGGCAAGCCCATCAAATATGGGAGGTGGGATCTGTTTATCACAGAGCCCACAGGCAAGGGCAGAAAAGCACAAAGCCAAGTCAAATTCACACATCTTGGCAGCCCTGAACTTGTCTGGCCCACTGCATACACAGAACTGGAGGGTAAACATGAAACCCAGGTCTTCAACATCACTTTGTGGGAGGTTCCCTACTCTGTGAAAGTCTGTCAGAACTCAAGCTAATATGTCATTTTTCCATGACACCTAAGACTGGAAAGAAGGAAGGGCACTCTTTTTAGCAGCAGTTTATGACCTCTCACAGAGCCAAAACAAAGAGGAGGGAATTCTCTTTTCTCTCTGCAAGATCAAACATCAAACAAGGAGAAAGGAGAGTTACTAGACAGATGGAAGCTGTGCAAAGACCTGGAGTTTTATACAAAGAATAGAGAGGCACAAGCAAAATACCCAGAGGCTTTCTCGTGCTGTAGTTGGAAGAGGTGTACTTTCTCCTGCTTGTTAAAGTTTTGCAATGAAGCCTGTATAATGCATCATCTTGACAAGATAGGATGATAACAGCATGGCAGCTTAATGAATTTTGCAATAAAAAATGATGAATGCACAGCAGTTTCTGTGTTTGCTGTCTCGGGGAAACACCCAAGTACACGGGAAGCTTGGGCCCAGACTCTGTGACTTTGTGCAGTGATCTTTTTCTGTACAGCTTTTGCTCCTGGGAACAGAGGCAGGTCATGCCAGAGTAAAAGCCAAGGTGGTCTGATTTCACGCTGACTCAGTCTCAGGTCCTGTGATAAAAATAATCTTAAAAAGCAGTTTGTGTAATATGTTTGGGCATATAAAAACAGTTTGAGCAATGCTTTTAAAAATAATCTCTAAAAAGGTAGCTTGGGCAATGAATGATGGAGTAAACAATGACTTGATGAGTGAGAGACAAGGCCAGCCTGTGGTTCTGATCGGATATACAACACTTGATGCTAAAACTTTTGGTAGATTTTCTTCATTGAACCCTCTGGTTTGGTCCTATTGGACTGGTTTCCTTAGGCTCCCCCTGCACCTTCCACTGCCATGGTGTTCACAATAAACTTTTTCATTGCAAATAGAAAGAATGCCAATAAACTGGATTTCATAAGAGAGCAGGAAAGGCATTGTGGCTGGCCCAGGATTGAAGTGATTCACAAGAATGAGGCATAGAGGCACAATAGAGAATCCTGGCCCTCCACCACTTCCATAATGAAGGCTGGAATGAGCCTCCTAATGGCTGAGCCAGGAGTTGAAAGATCAGAGGTAAGGAAGCACTCCACCCCTTCAAAATGCCCACTTTCCTATCTCCTGAGAATGTAGTTTTGAGAACTAACTGGTAAATTTCTGCTCCTCCACCTCTGATTGCTTGTACAGTAGTCCATGCACAGATTGCCTAA